TGGAAGTGAGCTGATTTTCATTTATCTAATCAGCTCACTCCTTTGACATGATGCTGTAGAGGCTTATCCAATGTTGAGTGCTTTATCGGGGATTTAAAAAATAACTAAACAGCAGTATAAAAGCAGGCAGTGGAACTTTCTCCCCCCTTCTTTGACTGAGTTTTGTTGGTGACACACTGTGCTTCTGTGCTGTGTTAGCCTCATTACTTGTCTTAGAAATTTTCTGAGAGTCTTGGTGTGCCTGCCAGTTCTCACTTGTTGAATTTGAGAGACTATTCCAGTGCACTGCTGTGCTGCTGACTGAGTCAGTGTGCCACACGGTGCCTGGCTGGCACTGCCAGTGCCTGCCTTCCCTGCTTGCTTACTGCCTACAGCAACCAGGTATTACTTTTTTTTTTAAATCTGCTTTTTTATTTAATCAAAATTAATTAGCTTAAATTTATTTAGATTTAGAGTAAAGGTAGACTCAGTCAAGTACTTTAACTTAGTGGGCCTTAGGGCTTCTGCCCTAGGGGTAGACTAGCTTGTTAGCTTGGTAGCCTAGAAGAAAATAAATCTTAATCTAGTTTATCTGTTAAGTCTTTTTAGCAGCAAAGTTGAGTAGTTGATTTTTGTTAATTGATTTTACAGAGGTGCTGCTGTTGCTGCAGTGCTGTTTCATTCTGAGTGCTGATAGAGAAAGTTAATCTGTCAGTCTCAGCTAAGTGTGTTTGACTGGGTTTTAAAAGATTTTTTAAGTGAATCTATACTCCAGTCCACACAGAGTTAGTTTAATCTGTGCTAGGAAAACAACTACTAGCACAGAGTCACAGTGACTGACCGACTGAGGATTTTTTGTGTCACTCACTCACTGACTCTGTATGCTTGCTTTGCAGGCAGTCAGTGTAAAAGTGAAGTAATATTTTTTTATTCAGTTAATAGAATTATCTTCAGTTTTTAATATAAATATATTTGTTGTAGTACAGTCTCTTTGTGCTTTGTTAGAACAGAACACATTAGTCAGTCTAATTTTTGTTTTAATTTTTTTGTGTGCTCACACCAGCATCAGCAGTGAAGTTAACTGTTCTGACTCCTGTTGTGAAGAAATTACTTTTTTCATTAACTGATTTTTATTAGTTCAGTTAGTGTGTTTGTTTAACAGCAATCAGTGAAGCTAACTGGTTGCTGTTTTTATTTGGTTTATTTTAGTTCCTTCCTGATAGATTGACTGTGAGACTGTCCTAACCTAAGCTTCAAGGTAGCTGTAGTAAATCTTTTATTATTTTATTTTTCTAACATTAGTAAATTTTTTCATCCTCTGTTTGCAGTAGTCGAACAGGGAGCACTTGTTGGCAGACTGCTCAAGCCGACAGTGCAGTTTTCCATAGTTCCTCAGAAAGCACTAGAGTGAAGAAATCTGCATGAGTACTAGTCTATTTTTTTTTTAACTGTGTTGATCTATATATCAGCATAGCTCCAAACTTCAAATAATCCTTTTCAATAAAAATATAAACGTTAGTTTCAAAACACAACATACAATACATTATCTCTTTCTTTTCTTCAACTTCTTTTCTTTTCTTTTCTTACTATTTTAAAATTCTAAATGGATCCTCCTAAACGTTCATCCA